ATGCACAATGATTTCTCCTGGCTCTGAACTCAGGAATTACCCCTGGCGGTGCTCAGGGGACCATATGGGATGCTGGGAATTGGACCGGGGTCGGTCGCATGCAAGGCAAACGCCCTACCCGGTGTGCTATTGCTCCAGCCCCGGGTTCCCACTTCTTGACTCTCGGAAGACCAGCCGCACCCTTCAACCTTGACCGCTAGGGGGAGCTGTCAGGTTGGGAGCCGGCTAGCAGCTGCCGGCTATGAGGGGCTTCTCTGTCTTTCCAGGGGAATGCAACTCCTGGGCATTCCTCTCCGAGTGCCCCCGCCCCTTCCCCACAGACCCGGATTCATACTTATCCAGAGCATCATTCTCATTTGGAATTTCACATGCATATTCCCAAAGCAATTTCACATGCATATTCCCAAAGCTGCCTGTACTTTATTTTTTTTCTTCTTGGGTCACACCCGGAGATGCACAGGGGTTACTTCTGGCTCTGCACTCAGGAATTACTGCTGGTGGTGCTCGGGGGACCATATGGGATGCTGGGAATCGAACCTAGGTCGGCCATGTGCAAGGCAAACGCCCTACCTGTTGTGCTATCGCCCCCCCCCCCCCCCGCCTGGACTTTTAAGTTTGGGGCCAGAGTGATAGTCCAGAGGGGAGGGCATTAACATGGCATGTATGTGACCGACCAGGTTCCATCCCTGGCATCCCATATGGTTCCACGAGCACTGCCAGGGGTGATTTCTGAGTGCAGAGCTGGGTATAAGTCCTAGGCATCACTGGGTGTGACCCTCAAATAAAACAAACAAAAAACAAACAAACACTGTCCTCCCGTTGTTCATCGACTTGCTAGAGCGGGCCCAGTAACATCTCCATTTTGAGACTTATTGTTACTGTGTTTGGCATATTGAATATGTCGCAGGTAGCTTGCCAGGCTTTGCCGTGCGGGTGAGATACTCTCAGTAGCTTGCCGGGCTCTCCGAGAGGGGAGGAGGAATCGAACTCTGCTCGGCCGGGCTGGCTGTACGCAAGGCAAACACCCTGCCGCTGTGCTATTGGCCAAGTGGTCTAAGTCACGAGACTCAAATAAAACAAAAATAAAATAAATGTATTAATTTTGATTTGTGGGTGGCAGAGCTAAGACAGGAGGGCCCCAGGCACTGAGCTGCCTGCTTGCCATGTTGGTCCCATCCTGGAACTGCATGTGGATCTCGGACACAGAACCCAAAACAGGCCCCGAGCACTGCTGGATGTGTTCCCAAGCCCCAAAAGCATTTTATTTATTTTTGTTTGGGGTCCCACACCCAGAAGTGCTCAGGCTTACTCCTGACTCTGTGTTTAGTGATCACTCCTAGTGGGGCTGGAGGAACCGTATGAGGTGCCAGGGATTGAGCCCTGTTTGCCCAGTGCAAGGCAAGCATCTTACCCATTGTACTATCCCTCCAGCCCCTTAATTTGGCATGGTAGCCATGCCAGCAGTGCTCAGGGGACCATGCGGTGCTGGGGATCGAACCCAGGCCTCCCATGTGCTAATCTAGAGACTTAATCTTCATATTATGTCTCTGGATCCCATCTTCTTGTTTTCTCTCCTTATTGCATGTTGCAGGACCTCCAGGGGTTCCTTTTATGGGGGGCCACCTTGGTACTGCTCAGGGCTTACTTCTGGTGGGGCCCAGGGAACCGTGTGTGTGTGTGTGTGTATGTGTGTGTGTGTGTGTGTGTGTGTCTTCTGAGCCACATCTGGCTGTGCTCAGGGTTTACATCTGTCTCTGTGCTCAAGGATCACTCCTGGCAGGCTCGGGGGACCATATGGGTGTCAGGTATCAAACCCAGGTTAGTCTCATGCAAAGCAAGCCCTCTGGCCGCTGGACTGTCGTCCCATTAACTTCTTTTTTTTTTTTAATAATTTATTTATTGGATCACTGTGGGAAAAGTTACAAAGCTTTCAGGTTTAGGTCTCAGTCATGCAAATATCAAACACATTTCCCTTTACCAATACTTATTTTTTACCCTGAAGAACCCCAATAAAACCCCACCCCCCACCCCTCCCAGTGCCTGCGAGGCAGATGAATTCTAGTTAACACTCTATCTGCTTTGATTAGATTCATTGTTTCAATAAAAGATGCACCACTCTTATTTAGAGTTTACCCCCCTCCCCAAATCAGACATGCTGAAAAAGCATTGTGAAGTGATTTGCTTTCTACAGCTGGGTTCAAGAATTAAATGTTGGTTTTGGATTTCCGCTATTTTACTTATTAACCCTGGAAGTATTTCTACTGAAAGTCAGATAATTAAGAGATTGGTTTCTGTGCTCTGGAGTCGTGGCCGTGCCAGAGAGCCGCTCGTGAGGGGCAACTGGTGACCTCGGTAGGGCGTGAAGGACGGACCGGAACGCCCCCCTTCCCATGAGGTTTTAGTCACCCCCACACCCCCGGCTCATACTTGCTCTCCACAAGGTTCCCATGCAGCCGCCATCTTTCTTTCCAGAGAGGAGAGGGCGAATGGGGCAACACCCTTTCCCCTCCGGGCAGACATGATGGCCTGGATTAAACCATAGTCCGTTTACTTTTCTGCTCCAAGCTGCTGGGTTCTGCATTAAGACTTTGTGCTTCTGGGGCTGTGGCTGTGCTCCAACCTTAACTCTGATTTTCAGGGAGAAACGTTGGGTGATTTACTTGCCATTGATCACTTTGTATATACAGAGATGTCGCGCGGCCGCATAAGCGGCAGTGTGGTTTGGAGGAAAAGTCCTAGTTCCCGCATACTCGAGCTATGCTTGTAGAGGCTTCTGGTCACCGGGGTTCCATCTGGGGGAGGCAGGATGCGGCACCAACCCCATCTGGGACTTCCCGGTGATCTCGGCTCTTTTTGGAACCTGGTGTCTTCTCCAAGAGCTGTGGAGCCAGCCCTCCATGTGGCCCTTCTCTGCGGCTGTATGCTGTCCATTAACTTATTTCTAACTGCTCAGTCTGCAGTATTTTTTTGACTAGTCTGAGCTGATATTCCTAATCCTAACTGTGACCAACTCCAGGAGGGCAAGGAAAGTGCTCGGGAGGGAGAATTCAGGTTGTGTTCGCCTCTCCAGGGAGAAAGCTGAGGTCAGAACCTCTCCTGCCCTTCCTCCCCAAGGACAGGGCTGCCCAGGCTCAAAGGACACTACCGCCCTCTAGTGCCCCAAGCCGGCCTTACAGCTAGACTCGCTCACAGGAGCTTTAGTCTGGGAGTCGCTGGCCTGACCCCTTAGTGGAGACGCTCAGGGAACACAGGCTTTACATCGTCCACTTAATCACAGGGTTGGTGGGTTCTACACAGGGCACACGAAAGAAAAGTTGTGGCAAATTATTTTATTTATGCATCTTTTATTTTTTTTTTTTGCTTTTGGCATCACACCCGGCAATGTACAGGGGTTACTTCCTGGCTCTGCACTCAGGAATTACCTCTGGCGGTGCTCAGGGGACCATATGGGATGCTGGGAATCGAACCCGGGTTGGCCGCGCGCAAGGTCAACGCCTTACCCACTGTGCTATTGCTCCAGCCCCTATTTATGCATCTTCAAGTTCCTGGGAGAACTGTCATCAGCAGGGGGGAAACTGGGTTTGTGATGGGGGTTATAAACCAACTAGAGCAAAGGCGGAGGGAGGGGACGGTGGGAGGCAGAGAGAAGGGAGGGGGCCATGCTCCTGAGATGGGGACCCAGAGATGGCGGTTCCCCTGCACACGGCTTGACCCCCTTACTGCCCACACAATTGAGCCCCGGCCCCCTACTTCACTGGGAGAGGAAGTGGAGGAAGCGAGTTTGGCAATGCTGTCTGTCTTCCCTGCCAAATAAACTTGCATGCCAGGCTTCAGTTTTTCTTGGTTTCTGTTCTATTTTTCTTATCATTGTTTTTTGGTTTGGGGGACACACCAGGCTCAGGGATTACTCCTGGCTCTGTGCTCAGGAATCACTCCTGACAGTGCTCAGGGATCACTATGTGGTGCTGGAAATCGAACCCGGCTCAGCTGTACTATCCGTCTGCCCACCCTCACCTATTTTTTTTTGAAAGAAATGTTTTTGTTTGGGGCTGGAGCAATAGCAGCTCCAGCTAAAAGGTAGGGTGTTTGCCTTGCACGCAGCTGACCTGAGTTCAATTCCCAGCATCCCATATGATCCCCTGAGCACATAGGCAGGAGTACAGGAGTACATAGGCACATAGCTCCTGTGCAATGCCAGGTGTGACCCAAAAAGCAAAAAAAAAAAAAAAGAAACTTTTTTTTTTTTGGTCACATCCAGCGATGCTCAGAGGTTACTCCTGGCTCTGCACTCAGGAATTATTCCTGGCAGTACTTGGGGGGACTATATGGGATGCCGGGATTGAACTCAGGTCAGCTGCGTGTAAGGCAAATGCCCTATCCGCTGTACTATCGCTCCAGCCCCTGAAAGAAACGTTTTTTAAAAGAAACATTTTAAAATCAGCTCATTAAAAAAAAAAACAGGAAGAATAGAACCAATACTAGAAGCACTGTTAGGGGGAAATAGGTGATGGTGTACCCGCAGGAGAACTGTATTGCAGATTACCGGGACCATGAGGAACAACTTGAAAAGGACCTTGCTTCCAGTTCAAATGCTTTCCTGCAGAGCCCACCTCGCACTCACTTGCGCACTCTCATATAAGATATCAGAGTTTAGAAGGACACTGACATTTCTCAATGGCTTCTCAATGACTTCTAATAACTGGTAAACAATGAATGGGATGATACGTCCCAGGCAGTTTTGACAGGAAGTCATTCATTTCACATTCCCAGATTTTATCAGTCCACAGGCGCCTCCTTGCCAAGAGTAAACATGGTCACCTGACTTCCTTCTTCCCTGTTAGATACCCTAGCGCTTGCCAAGAGTCAGCATGGCTGCCAGGCCGTGCGTTTCTATTGGCGGCTTCCACGAGGCCCCGCCCACCACGCTCCCCGCTCGCCAATGGGGAATCGCGGAGCCTGTTCTCGCGGGTCCTGGCCGGACTGCGCCTGCGCCGGTCTTTGGCGCCAAGATGGCGATGGAGATGCGGCTGCCGGTTGCTCGCAAGCCCGTCGGCGAGACCCTGGGCCGCGACACCAAGAAGCACCTGGTGGTGCCGGGGGACACGATCACCACGGACACCGGCTTCATGCGGTACGCGGGACTGGGGGGGGCCTCGGGCCCGCAGGGGCGCCGTGGCCGCCTGCACGTGGCCTGCCGGCCGAGACCCGGCTCGCAGTCTCCGCGCGTTTTATTACTTAGTCAGAGGAACGCTCTGGGGGGAGGGGCGCGGGGCTGGGGCCGGCCGGGGGGGGGTCTGCCGCGAGCACGGCTGGAGCCTTCCCCGTGTCCCGAGCCCGCCGCAGCCCCGGGCCGCCGCTGCCCCGGCCCCGACCCGGGTCCGAGACCTGGGCGCCTTCCGGGGCGGTCGCCCCGCCCGCCCGCAGCTCCGCGTCGGAGTCGGTTGTTCGGGCTCGGGTTGGACCGGCAGACGGTGCCGCGTGCAGCCCAGGTTGGGATTCGGGCCGCTGCCGGCCTCCGTAGCCAGCGGTCAGTCCCCGCCCCCGAAGGAGACCGGGAGTGGCCGTAACGGACGCGCTAACGGACGCGCCAACGGACGCGCCAACGGACGCGGTAACAGGACGCGGTAACTGATGCGGTAACGGACGCGTAGGCAGACTTAGAGACCATTGTCAAGGGCAGCGAAACTCCCCATCGGGGCAACCCCCAGAGGTGAACGCTCCCGGTGTTTAAGTTGTTTCGGTTTGGTTTTTTTTGGGGGGGGGGGAGACAAGGGGGCGATGGTATGCCTGCGCCCCTGCGCCCCTGCGCCTCTGAGTTTGAGACGATTGGAGTCCAGGAATTGTTACCATTCAGCCTCCTTCATTCATGCCTCCAAGATACGTTTGTAGGGGGCTTTGGGAGTGCCAGGAACCACAAACACCCAGCTGGGAGGACTCCCCAAGCCCCCCCTACGACGCAGAGTCAGTATCGTCAAAGGGGTTCAACGGAAAACAAAGTCGGGGCTGGAGAGAGAGCTCAGTGGGTAGCGCCTTGCCTTCCATGGGGCCGACCCCCCACCCCCCCACCCCAGGAGTGATCTCTGAGTGCGGGGGTCAGGAATGAGCCACGCCAGGCTTCCTGCCATGAAAGCGTGCGCCCCAGCCCTTGGAGCCAGCTCTCCGGCCTCAGGCTTGATGGGGTTGGGGGAGAGGACAGTAAGCGCAGTGCTCGGGTCGCTGGAGACGTGGGCTGGAATGGTAGTGGAAGAAAAGGGGAAGTCGAGGGGCCTGAGTGTAAGGTGGGGAGCGCCCTGCAGGACTGTCGGATGCAGAGACATTTGGGTAATCAGGGAAGAACTCCAGGGGCTCTCAGTGAAGTAAGTTGCCGAACAGTATTGATTCCGGGGGCTGGAGCGATAGACCAGTGAGTACTGTGCTTTCTTTCCATGCGCCTGACCCAGATTTGACCCCGGCACCCCATATGGTTCCATGAGCCCCGCCAGGAGGAAGCCCCGAGCACTGCCAGCTGTGACCCCAAAAATCAAAAACCAAACTATGAATTCATGGCACTGGAGAGAGAGTCTGAAGGGGAAGGCGCTTGCCAAGCATGCAGCCGTGGGGCAGTGCGGTCACTGTTAGAATCCTGACACCAAGCACTGCCAGGAGCGATGCAACGCTCAGGGGTCACTCTTGACTCTGCTCTGAGATTGAATCACTCCTGACGGTGCTCGGATCGAACCCAAGTTGGCCATATGCAAGGCAAGCGCCCTCTGTATTGTCATTGACCCTCCCCAAGGAGGATCCTTAAGCACAGAACTTTTTAAAAGTAAGTCCTGAGTACTGTCAGGTGTGCATCTCCCCCAAAATAACACATGTGCAAAATTGAATTTTTCCAAGAAAGCCACCCGCCTGTAAACAAAGCAGGAGGGGCTGCGAGTTCTGGGTTACGTCATTCTCTTGTGCTGGTTTGCATGGCACTTCGTGACCCTGGGTGGTGGCGGGCATTGAACTGGGTGGATGGGCTGCAAGGTAGGTGCCTCAGCCTCTGTGCTTTCCGGCCCAGAGCATCCGTGGTGGGACCGTGTGTCACCCTGTCTCTTCTGCCTTCCCCTTACACAGGGGCCACGGGACCTACATGGGGGAGGAGAAGCTCATCGCATCTGTGGCCGGCTCCGTGGAGAGAGTGAACAAGCTCATCTGTGTGAAGGCTCTGAAAACCAGGTGAGAACACAGATGTGTGTCTTTCCCCCCTGGGGGCCATGAGCTCCGTGGTGCATGTTGCAGTCGTTTTTTTGTGGCCCCCACACCCCAACACCCCCAGCCTGAGTTTGAGCATCACCATTGGCTGGAGGTAGTGAGCGTGTGCTGTGGGCTTCTGAGATGCCCCCTGCCGTCGAAGCTCTCTGGACCCTGGAGGCATCCCACAGACCCGCCTGCTCGGCTGCAGTTATATGTTCCGAAGGCCATGTAACGGTCCACCCTGGAGGGGAAGCCGGTGGGGCAGAGCAGATGAGCGTGGGCACGCCCGGAGAGGGTTCGGGTTGGCTTCGGGCTGGCGTGGCGGAGACCACCTGCCTTTATGGGCAGCTTCGGAGCAGGTGGGGTTGAAGCGGGCGCCATCTGCCTGGGGGCCTTGTGGGCCCCGGGGTCATTAGGGTCAGCCCACACAGGCCGGGCGCCTTGGCCCTGACCTAGGCTGCAGGCGGGTCACTAGGGCTGCTTTGGGTACTGACGCTCTGGGCTTTTGGCTTGTGGGGTGGCTGAGGTGAGTCGGGCGAGTCCCACAGAGGTCTCAGTCTCCGGGCTCACTCCTCAGGATGGAGCAGCCGCATGTGTCCTCGGGAGCCTCGGACGGTGCCTGTGAGTCGAGGCGGGGATGGCCTCCCGGGGCAGCGCATGTCCTTGCCTGTGTCCAGCGTGTCTTTGCCTGTGTCCTCGGGCAGAGGAACCCTCGGCCGGCAGTCCAGCCTGGAGCAGCGGGCTTGAGGCATTTTCTTGCTTTTTAGGTTGTTGTTTGCTTGGGGACCACAGCTGGGGGTGCTCAGGGCTTACCCCTGGCTCTGTACTCGGGGATCACTCCTGGAGGGTCCCTGGGGACCATATCGGGTACCGGGGATCTAACCCGGCTTGGCCTCGCTGCTGTACTGTTGCTCTGGCCCCGAGCCCTTTCCTGAGGTGGTTCGAGCTTGGAGAGAATCTATCAGTGATTGGGGGAGTTGGGGGGCTTCTGCAGGGGGTTGGGTGCTGGCCAGTTCAGGAATGGCACATTCCCAGGGGATGTAGGAGGGGGGTCATTAAGTCGGATGGGCAGGGGCTGAACTGCACCATGGTCCAGCCTGGACCACGTCTGGGCCTCGTCACCTGCACTGGGCTGAGGAACTAGTTAGAGGGGCCCGGGGTACACGGGACGGAGAGTGCACTGGTTGGTTAGACGTGTCTTCTCTCTGTCTCTGAATCCCACTATGCCAAACTTATCATGCAGGCTTTGATTTTTTTTGCGGGGGGGTGGGTTGGGGCCGCAGCTGGCAGTGCCCAGGGACCCCGGGACCATATGCGATGCTGGGGATTGGAAACCCTTGTGGGCCACGTGCAAGGTCAGTGCCATCACTGCTGTGCTCTCTCCGGCCCCTCAGGCAGGGTTCCGGTGCTCCTTCAAGCAGTGTCCAGGGCTCGCCACACACAGGACTGTTTTTTTATTTTCCCCTTTTTTGTGTCACACCCAGTGGTTCTCAGGGCTTACTCCTTAGGGATCACTCCTGGTGGGGCTTGTGGGACCATGTGGGGTGCTGGGGTTAGAACCCGGTCAGGTACGTGCTAAGTAAACCACCTCCCGCTGTATGCCTGCTCCGGCCCCACACCCAAGACTGAAATCACCATCTGCTGAGAGTGTTGGAGGAACCTAGGGTGCTTACTCAGCGGGACCCCCAACCAGGGTCTGCTCCTGTCCAGTGGAGCCTCCGATGGCACCTGGACCCCTCGTGATGCGCCCGCGTTGACAGGTCGCCTTCTGCTTCCCTTTCAGGTACAACGGTGAGGTAGGGGACATCGTGGTCGGGCGGATCACCGAGGTAATTGGCTCTCGGGTCTGTCTGGGCCGCGCCAAGGCCAGCTGGTGTCTGAATGAATGTGATTGTGTCTGCATGTGGCCGTGGGTGTCAGGGTGCCTTGTTTATGTGAGGTTACTGGTCACGTGTGTTGGGAGAGCTATCCTGGACTCAGTGGCCAGGCGTGGACTTTCTCTGTTTGTAGGTTCAGCAGAAGAGGTGGAAGGTGGAGACCAACTCCAGACTGGACTCGGTCCTGCTCCTGTCGTCCATGAACCTTCCTGGAGGGGAGCTGGTAAGGGCCAATGGCGGGCTCCTAGCATCACCCCGGCTAGCTCCAGTTTTGGGGTCCTTGGTGCCTCCAGGGAACTCAGCTGAGTTTTGTTTTGGGGCCACATCCAGCAGGGCTCAGGGGTTACTCCTGGCTCTGTGCTCAGGAATCACTCCTGGTAGTGCTCAGGGGACCATCTGGGATGCCGGGATGGAACCCAGGTCGGCCGCAAGGCAAGGCAAGTGCTGTTCCTGCTGTACCATCGCTCCGGCCCTAGGGGACTGCTTTATCCAGAGGCGGACCCCCGAAGTGGGTGTCTGGAGAGACCCACCTCTCTTAGCTGGGCTCCTGCTGAGGCTGCGGGTGTCCCATTCGGCTCCTTCTCTGGGTGGCAACTGTGCGTGGAGCTCTGCTTGGATGGCTGCGCTTTAGGGCATTCCAGGCTATCACGCCACTTGCCTGCAGTCCTCCCTAAAAGATGGTGCCCCTTGTCTTAGCCCAGAGGGTGGAGTGGGTCAGTGCTGAGGTGACCCCGTGGGGCAGGAGTGATGGGGAATGTGGTCTGGGCGGACCACCAGGCACAGTCCCAGGAAGTCGGGCTATTGATCCGAAGAGTGAGCCGGCAGATGAGGCGCCCTGGCTGTGCTCGTGCCTGTCCCCATTCCTGTCCCCCTGAGGGACACCAGTGACCCGCTGTGTTGCATTGTGGATATCTAGCGGCAGCTTTCAGAGTATTCACGGAAACGGACCGGGCTGGGGACAGGCAGGAGGAAGGCACGGGGCTGGGCACAGGGCTGGGGACAGGGCTGCAACAGGGCAGGAGAAGGGGCGGGGGCTTGCCACCACTTCCGGTCACGTGGTGCGTTCTGCGCGTGTATTTCAGAGGCGGCGATCAGCGGAGGACGAGCTGGCCATGAGAGGCTTCCTGCAGGAAGGGGACCTCATCAGCGTATCCTGTGCTGCCCTTCCAGTCTGCGGGGGTGTGGGGGGGCATGGCCTGTCCAGTGCGGAGGTGCTGTCCGGCCTCTCGGGCTCCTGCACGTTGCTCCGGCCTGTGCTTGGGTTGCGAACAGGACAGCCTTTTTCAAGTCGGGGCACCCAGGAGTAGAAAGGGGCTCCTCTGTCATGGCACCGGGAGGCCCTGGGCTGGGAGGACAGCTGGGGAGGTGGGGCCCTGAAAGTGTTTGCTCCTTCACCCCGGGCCAGGCCGAGGTCCAGGCCGTGTTCTCTGATGGCGCCGTTTCCCTCCACACTCGGAGTCTGAAATACGGAAAAGTAAGTCTGCTTCTGCATCCCCAGCGCTCCCCTGAGTTGGGGTCAGTAGAGCCCCAGAATTAGGCTCAGGCATGGACCCCAGGGCCACGAAGGGAAGACCCGGAGTGTGTGATGGGTCCGATTCTCCGAGTACCCCCTCCCCGTCACCAGTGGCTGTGACCCCAATACTATAATACAAACAGGAGGGGCCCTGCTGTCCCCACTGCAGCTTCTGTTTTGGTAGCTGGACCTGGTGCTGCTCCACCTGGGGTCCTGCTGCTCTGCGGGTGACGGTGATCCCAGGAACAGTGTCCTGTTCTTGTTTGGGAGGCCTCCCGCACTGTCCTCTGGAGGCTACTCGGCAACACTTGGCAAAGGGGCTGCTGGCCCTGGTGCTGCCTGGGCCGCCCCCACAGTGCTGGGCTCCCCAAGGCCTCACCCCGGGGTGCTTGCCGGCTTCCAAGATGGCACCTACTGCTGCTCGGGGGACCCTGTGGGGCCAGAATTGGACCCAGGGCAGCATGTGCCAGGTGGGTGCCCTAACCACTGCCCTGCCCCTGGGACAGTGGGCATGGTCTCAGGCGTCCAGTGGTGGAGACCAGCAGCCTTCTGAGACCAGACTTACTGCCTCCCTTGGCTTTGTCAGGGTGGACCTTTCTGTTTTTTCTTTTTGGGTCACACCTGGCGATGCACGGGGGTTACTCCTGCCTCTGCACTCAGGAATCACTCCTGGCAGTGCTTAGGTGACCATATGTGATGCTGGGAATCGAACCCGGGTTGGCTGCGTCCAAGGCAAATGCCCTACCCGCTGTGCTATCTCTCCAGCCCCCTCTTTTTTCTTTTTTCTTTTTTGAGGTTTTTTTGTTCTTGCTTTTGTGTTGGGGCCACACCTGATAGTGCTTGGGCCTAGTTTTGTGCTCAGGGATCTCTCCTGGTGGGGCTTGGGGGCTGTGTTATTTCTCTGTCCCAAATCTTTTTTTTTTCTTCTGCTCTTTGGTGATGGGGGCTGTTGGGCCATACCCAGGGGTGCTCAGGGCTTTGGGGTGCAGGTGACCATAACAGGGTCAGCTGCATGCCAGGCAAGTGCCCTGCCCGCTGTGCCGCCACTGTGGCCCCCACACTGAGTGGCGCAGACCCCTCTTGCCCTTCATGGGCTTTATCATGTCCCGGGAGTTGCCTCATGCGCACCTGTCGCTTCAGACGCTCGGCTGCTGGGGTGCTCTGGGCGCTGCCTGCTGGACAGGGAGGGATTGGCCCCTTGGCACTTCTGCGCCAGCTGGGTGGCAGATGTGAGGCGTGCGGGAGGTGTGTGGGCTGGGCTGGTCCTCCTTGTCCCCAGTGACTGGGGCCAGATGTTCCTGATCCCGTCCCAGGTGACGGTGGGCGGGCTGACCTGTGGGATCTTGGGCCAGGGGAGAGGGCCTGGCCCCGGCGAGCCAGGGCACACTGAGGCGCCCTCTTTTCCCAGGCCCTGCAACTCTCTCTGTTCTGTCCCCTTAGCTGGGTCAGGGCGTCTTGGTCCAGGTGTCCCCCTCCCTGGTGAAGAGGCAGAAGACCCACTTCCACGATCTGCCGTGCGGGGCGTCTGTCATCCTGGGCAACAACGGCTTCATCTGGATCTACCCAACGCCTGAGCACAAGGATGACGAAGCAGGGGGCTTCGTGGCCAACCTGGAGGTAGGGGGCCCTTGGGCTGCTGCTGGTAGGGGCTCGCCAGGAGCCATTCCTTTGGGCTCTGAGCCCTGGTGTGTTGGTGAGCGGGAGGCCAGTTTGGCCGCGCGTTTGGTCTTGGTGGAGGAGTCAGCGGGGTTGTGGGGTCATTGCCAAAGGGTGGCCAGGAGCCAGCTGTGGCCACAGCCCTCAGACCTCTCCTCTGCCAGCCCGTCTCACTCGCCGACCGGGAGGTGATCTCGCGGCTCCGGAACTGCATCGTGGCACTGGTGACGCAGAGGATGATGCTCTATGACACCAGCATCCTGTACTGCTTCGAGGCATCCTTGCCGCATCAGGTAGTTGCTGGGGCCTGCGCCGCCCCTGCCTGGGCTCCCTGGCTCCCCCGAACACTGGGAACGCCCTCCGCGTCGCCTTTCGCTCTCAGACAGAGTTGGGGGGCCAGGCAGGAGTGGAGCTGCGGGGTCCCCTGATGCAGTGCTGCTTCCGGAGTACCCCAGTCTGCCAGGACCCCGCATCTGTGCCAGGAAATGCAGGGCTCGCTGGCCTTCGCCCTTTCCCTTGGCCCCAGGTTGCTCGTGGGGGCTGCTCCTCCCATTGGGTTTGGGTAGGTGGGGGGAGGGGGGTCTACGTCTGGTGGTGCTCAGGTACTGCAGCTCTGGGCTGGAGGATCCAACCCAGACTTGCGGGCTAAGCCTGTGCCCTAAGCCGGTGCCCGCCGTGTGCCTGGGGCTGCTTTGGGGAACGAACTCCTGCCTCTTCCTCTCAGATCAAAGACATCCTCAAGCCAGAGGTGGTGGAGGAGATCGTGATGGAGACGCGCCAGCGGCTTCTGGAGCAGGAGGGCTAGGGGCATGGCGCCAACACCCGTGCCCGGCCTGGAGCAGCTCAGAGGAAGCTTTGGGTGTGCCCAGGCGCAGCTCCATGGAGCCCGGCACCCACCACCTGCCTGCAGACTGCTCTCCTGCCCGGGGAGGGGAGCCGCTCAGGGCCCAGCGCCCAGCCGAGGGTGCCGGCAGCACTCCTGGCCGCATGGACTCCTGTCCCGAAGCCCTCCAGGGAGCCTGGTCTTCTTTGGTCACGACTCCACCACCGCAGGACGCCCCGGGAAATCTCACCGTGGCCTTCCTGACCCTCGGCTCTCTGGCCTCATCCTGCACCGGGGTGTTGCTGAGGAAAATGGGGAGAGTCGGCCCGACAGCTCGTGGAGGAATAAAGTTCCCGAGCAATCGTGTGAAAGTCGCGTTGTCGGTGATAGGAGTTTCCGGGGCTCTGACTGAAGTGAATGTCAGAGCTAGACGGCAAGAGAAAAGCTGGTTTCTTCTGTGCCGATCACCTTGAAATAATTCAAGCGCTAAGAAGACGGGCCGAAGCAAGAGCACAGCGGGTAGGTGGTCGCCTTGTACGCAGCTGACCTGGGTTTGATCCCCAGCACCTTGTAGGACCCCCGGGCACCACCAGGAGTGACCCCTGGGCATGGCTGGTTCCCCCACCCTCCCGGAGTGCTAAGCGGCGGTTCCCACTGAGGCATGCTGGGCTGCTTTTCTGGTGAACAGCTGCCCGGGCTCCAGGGAGACACGACTCCAGGTCAGCGCACCTGCCTGACCTGCACCAGGCCCCAGAGCACCCTGGGCAGAGCCCACACTGCTGGGGAGACCAACTCAGTGAAAGGTGCCTTGATTTAGGTTTTGGGAAACTTTGGGGGCGTTTGGGGGGTGCCAGGGATCAAACCTCAGGCTTATGTATGAATTCTGTGCTCTAGCACTCTGTGTGTGTGTGTGTGTGTGTGTGTGTGTGTGTGTGTGTGTCTGTCTGTCTGTCTGTCTGTCTGGTGGGGCGGGGCGCTCCAGCGAGACCCAGGGATGAAGCCGGGCCTCCAGCATGCAGAGTCCGCACTCCAGCCCTTTGAGCGCTCTTCAGTCTGAAGCGCTGCTTCATTCCATATTGCAGGGGACTGTGTCATACTCAGAATCGATGGACCTTCACTGTGTACTGTGGTTGAGGGAGGCAGTAACAAATAAGCAGATGCAAATCCTGACAGCTCTGGTCTCCTAGACACAGGCAGCTGTGATTGCAGAAGCAGTTTGGGAAATGAGCTTAGTTTGGTTTTGGTTTTGAAGCCCCCGTGGCGGTGCTGAGGGCTTGCTTCTGACTCAGGGATCGCTCCTGGTGGTGTTCTGGGGGGCCGTTTGGAGTGTTGGGGATCGAAACGGGGGCAAGTGTATGCAAGGCGAACTACTGTCTCCAACCCCCAAACTTGGGGACTATCTCTTTTTTTTTTTTCCTTTTTGGTTTTTGGGTCACACATGGTGATGCTTAGGGGTCATTCCTGCCTCTGCACTCAGGGATCACTTGTGGCAGGGCCTGGGGGAAATCTGGGATGCCACGGATCGAACCCGGGTCGACTGTGTACAAGGCAAACGCCCTCCCTGCTGTACTGTTGCTCCAGCCCCGGGGAGCTATATCTGACTCTGCGTGGTGCTGGGGATCAAGCCTGGGCTCCTGCTTGTAGAGAGTGCACACTCAGCCCTTTGAGCCTCGCCCTGCTCTGAAGGGCCCATTCCTAGTTCTGACATGTCTCAATAGGAGAGGTGTCTTTACCTCAGCTCTCCCAACTGTACCATCTCCTTTGAGGAGTTTGTGCAGCCTCTGTTGTTGCTTTCAAGCGGCTCACTTGTTCAGAATTATTCAGAAAGAATGCGGACCCTTGGGAGCCAGAGTCCTGGCTTGGCCTTGCTCCGGGACGCCGCGTGTGAGCCTGAAACCCCCCTGGCCTCTGCAGCTCCTTTGGCCGGCTTCTCTGCGTGCCCCCTGCCTGGACATGCTAGAGAGCCACCATCTACTTCCTGTGGTCCAGCAGAGGGCGCCCGTGTCCACTCATTCCACTGAAATAGTTTGAAGCAACTTTTTTTTTTTTTTGCCTTTTTGGGTCACACCCAGCGATGCTCTGGGGTCACTCCTGGCTCTGTGCTCAGGAATTACTCCTGGTGGTGCTTGGGGCACCAGATGGGATGCCGGGGATCGAACCCGGGTCGGCCACGTGGAAGGCAAACGCCCTACCCGCTCTATTGCTCCGGCCCCTCGAAGCAACTCTTAAGACTCTGCTTTCTGAAGGTGAAGCTGAAACATGCGAGAATAGATGAACTTAGAGGCTCTCCCCCAATATGCAGCAGCATTTAGGTCTTCAAATTGTCAGGCGTTTTCCTGAATTCTGAAGTCTAGTTTTAGTCCTCAGAGGTATTTTGAGATAACCCTGAGGGCTGGAGTGCCAGGGGGCCCATCTCCAGCACGTGTCTGGTCCCTGAGTACGGAGCTGGGGGCCCTCACGCCACCCCCAGCACTGCTCTGTGTGTGGTCGAGAACCCTCCATGGCACACCTAGGCATATTCTCCAGGGCCGTTGGGAGTGAAGTAGTATAATGCAGCTCCAGGTAAAATAGTTGGGATGGAAAGACAGCAGGCATGGCCCCAAACAAAGGAAATATTATAGATTGGGGTGAGGTTCATGTCAAGGCAAAGGTGACAGTGGAAAATAGAGATGAGGATAAACCACACGCTTCTGTGAAGTCTCAGTTATTCTGGGAGCCAAACATTGTCTCACTTGGTCCTTGTGAAGGTCACAAAACTACCCGTTAGAAGTGCATGGGGAGGGCCGGAATGATTATAACGGAAGGTAAGGCTTTTGCCTTGCACACGACCTACCCAGGTTCTATTCCTGGCATCCCATATAGCTCCCAAGCACCAGCAGGAGTGATTCCTGAATGCAGAGCCAGGAGAAGCCCCGAGCACTGGTAGGTGCCTCTCCCTCATCTCCTCAAAGTGCATAGGGGTGTCCCACTGACAGGCCCCAGGATGCCCTAGTGTTTGACAGGCAGAGACAGGCTTCCTGTCAGCTGCCCCCAGCTGGGCTCATCTGCCTGTCCTGTGAGGCCCTGATCATGGTGTGGATGTTCATTTGGATCTTGGCGGAATAAGGGTGCCCCATCCTGCTAGCTTCCAAAGCTGTTGCGCATCGTTAGCTTTGGTGCTTGCTGGTTGTTAAGGGGAGGCGCCTCCAGAACAGCAGCGTGTCTGTCTGCACACGCCCTTGAGGCCCATTGCCTAACACAGTTCCTGACGTGGGGTCTCCAGAAATGCCAAATGAATTACTAGTTCAGGAAAAGTATTTGAGTTCTGATTCTTCCACCTTTCGTGAGTGAATGTGGAATAATGTGCAGGGAATGAGCGCCATGTAAATTAGGGATGGGAAAGAGCGACAGTTGGAGAGGGAGCAGACTCAGTTACTTGCACTGCACGCAGGAGAGGTTCAGGTTCGATCCCCAACATGTGCAGCCCTCAGCACAGCCAGGAGCGACTCTGAGCATAGAGCTAGGAATAGTGCGTGCCTCATACCCAGAACCACTGGAAACCCTTCTCCCCTGCCAAAAAAAAAAAAAAATTAAGGGCAGTGACATTTTAAAAGAATGGTACTAAGCACCTGGTGGCCAGACTTTTGAGAGCAAAGTTAGCTCAGCTCAGAGTTGAGGGACTGCGGTCATAGTTCAGTGCTGGAGGACTTACACGTAAAAAGCCCTAAATTGGATCCCTTGCACTGCAAAAGTAGAGGAGAAATAAATAAAAAAAAATAAAAACAACTCCAACCCCAAACGTGAGTTTCTTAGTCCTAGCTCTAAATTTGATATTTTAAAAAAATACCCTTTATTTTTGGTATATATCTGACTGTGCTCAGTTGTTACTCTTTACTTTGTGCTCAGGAATCATTCCTGGCAGTGCTTGGGGGAATGCTATGGGGTCGGTGAGTGGCATGGAACCTGGGCTGGCCACATGTGAGGTCAATATCTTACTGTTGAACTGTTTCTCTGACCCCTCTTTTTTTCTGTCTAGATTTTGGGCCACACCTGGTAGTATTCTGATTATGTGTGTGTTCAGGGGTCACTTCTGAAGGGGTGCTGGGGACCAAAAGTCACCCATATGTCAGGCGAGTGCCTGACTCCCTCTACTATCGCTAACCCCTGGCCTCTCTCAAATTATTTATTTTTATTTTTTAGAACAATGTTGGGGACTGAACCCAGGGCCCAAGTTTAAGAGTTAACTTGTTAACTCACACTTAACAAGACAGCTGAGCCTCGTCCCTGGCCTCTGGGTGACTAATTCTTATGGGAAATCGTTGTCTGTAAAATCAGCGCCTTTCCCATTCCAACAGAAATGTTTCTAGAGGTAAGCCACGAGCTATATCAGGCAGCTCTGGTCTGCCCTGCCCTTAGTAGTCACTTCTGGGTTTATTTTACCTGACGATACTCGGGGGTTCCTCCTGGCTCTGCACTCAGGAGTTACTCCTGGTGGTGCTTAGGACCATGTGGGATGCCGGGGATTGAGCCCAGTTTGGCCGCATGCTGGCCGAGTGCCCTCCCCGCTGTCCTGTCTCCTGTCCCAGTAGCCCCTTCTGAAGGGTCTATTGTCTGCTAGGTCTTCAGTCCCTTGGCACTGCGTGGTATGTGGGAAAACCAGGGGCTTTGGAGCAGGATGACAGGGCTCAGAGGGCGACTGTCACAGCTGGATTGTAGCTTATGCTTTTCTATGCCTTGTTGGACAAGGGAGAGCCCTACATGACAGTTCGAGAGGATTCTGATGGATGCTGTAGTGCATTGTGGGGGCTGCCATGAATGGGTCTTCTTGGAAATGGACATTTGGGTCAGGCAGGTGCCCTTGCTGGAATTTAGGCCTGGGGCTGTTGAAGGTTTTTTTTTATTAAATTTTTTTTTTTTTTTTCTGGAAGAGGGCACACAAGGACTGCTCCTAACTGCTCGTATGTGGTGTCAGGGACTGAATCTGGGTTGGCTCCTTACAAAGCAAATGCCTTACATCTGTATTCTCTGACCATAGTGCCTGAGAATAAGTAAGGACTTACTCATGGCTCTGCACTTGGGGATCATTCCTGGCGGGCTCAGGATACCATATGGGGTGTGGGGATTGCGCCCAGAGGGTTGGCTGCATATGCAAGGCAAGCCCTGTACCCAGGGTACTATTCTGGCCCTCTGGCTATATTTTTTTGGGGGAGGGAGCATTTCCATTGGTGCTCAGGACTCCTTGTTTTGTGCTCAAGTGTCACTCCTGGGTGCAGGGGACGGAACCCAGTTGGCCTCATGCAAGGCTATCACCTTATCTGCAGTGCTCTGACCTCTGGAGAGCTTTGTAGCTGCGGAAGATGGATTATTGGCGAACTAGACGATTTGATGTGCTGGGACATTGTCTGGCCTGCTAACCTCACAACTGGGGCCTTTTCTGGGCTAATACAGAGGAGGAGGAGAATGATGATGATGTGTGTGTATGTGTGTAAATGCGTGTAAATGTAACTTGGTGTTCACTTAAGAAGTGAGCTCTTTATTCTCTTTTGGTTATGCTATTTGGTCACACCTCACTGTGCTCAGGGCTTACCCCTGGCTCTGTGCTCAGGGATCACTCCTGGCTGTGTACAAAGCAAGTGCTTTACTGTACTCTTTCCAAACTCTTGAGTGACTAAAATGCAATTTACAAATGCAGTGTCTGGAATGAATAAGCCTCCCTTTGCTACAAAGAAACAATAAATTTGGCGGTATGGACCAGATATTTTCCAGTCGTCTTTTGTGGATAGTTTAATAATCCATGCTTTTTATGGGGAAAGGTGGACATGTGGGAGGGGTAGTGGAGAGGCACCAAATTCCTGGTTTCCAGCAGAGGGAGAAATGAGTTTCTCCTTGAGTTTGAGTTCTGATCAAGGAAGTCCTCCAACTCCGGTCCTGGGAAAATCCAACCCGCAGTTTTCTCCTCGCCACCCTTACTACCCGCGCCGGGAAGGCATTGCCTAGCTCTGCGCGACGCCGGCTGCTGTCCGCGGGCACCCCGAAGGCGGGACCGAGGTTCGGGAGCCCGGAGCAGAGGGCAAGAAGTCCCGGGGTGTCTCCGAGAGGGGCGGGCGGCGCGGAACTACAACTCCCGGCACGCCCCGCGGGCTGCGCCGGAGGTGGTTGGCCGGGAGCGCCGGCCGAGCGCCGGCTCTGGCCAATGGCACGGAGGGGAGCGACCGGGCCGGACTGCCGGGGACCAATGGCAGCGCAGAGGAGGCGGGCGCTTCCTCGGCGCTCACCTTGCGCTCGGAAGAGCCGCACTCGGGAGGTCGGGCCGGACCGGGCTCCGGCGGGCCGCGCGGGCGGGCGGACGGGCGGGCGGGCGCGGCGGCGGCGGCGGTGCCGGGGGCGGCCGTGCGGGGGTCCCGGGGCCCGCGAGGCGCGCGCCGAGCCGCGGGGGCGGGGCGGGGGGCGGGGCCCGGCGCCGTGCGGAGAGGCGCCGATCCATCATGGCGGCCGCGGGGGTCGGCGTCCGTCCCTGAGCGGCGCCCGGGCCGGGCCTGAGGCCGGGAGCCCCTGCGCGGGCCGGGGGCGCGGGCGGGCGCGGGCGCGGAGCCCGGGGCGGCCGACGGCCCGCGCCGACGCGGTGCTGTCTGGGGCGGAGACCCCCGGCTGGGGCCCCCGCAGTCGGGGCCGCCCGGGACGCCCCGTTTCCTGAGGCGCCGCGCCGCGTCGCCCCGCGGCAGCCGCCCCTCGTCGCCCCCCGGCGGGGCCTCATGCCCTGACCCCCTCCAATGTCACCCCCGACCCCCCGTGTCTCCGCGCAGCCCAGAAGTTGGATGCGGAGGAAACAGCCGGGCAGGTTCCACAGGCCCTTTAAAAAGCCCACTTAAAAGTTGTCGCTCGCGCCGGGGCGACGGACGCCGCCGGGTGGGCGACCCCGGGACACGTGCGCGGCGCCCCCACCCCCACCCCACCCCGCCCCCGGCCCGCCGACCCCGCGGCTTGGCTCCGGCTGCCGGAAGAGAAGGCGCCGGCCCAGCCCGCCCGCCCGCCCGCGCCCCGCGGCCGGGGCCTGGGGGGGGGGGGCCGCGGTCCCTCCCTCCCTCGGGCCTGCGGCGTGTCCCGCCCGCGGCCACCGCCAGCCCCCGAGACCCGGCGCCCCCCGGGCATGGCGTGACGGGCGCCCGCGGCCGCCGATCCGCCGGGGCCCGGGGAATGTGAGCCCCCGGCCCGGTCGCGGGCAGCCGGCTCACCGCAGCGAACCTTCCGGAGCCGCTGGACCACTCCTCCGGGAAGGGGCGCCCATCCGTGCTTTATGGGGCAGCAGCCTGGAAAAGTGCTCGGGGACCAGCGGAGGCCGAGCCTGCCGGCCCTGCACTTCATCAAGGGAGCGGGGAAGAAGGAGCCGGCGCGCCACGGGGGACCCCACTGCAACGTCTTTGTGGAGCACGGTGAGTGGCGGGCGGGCTCTGGGTGGTGGGGGCGGGGTGGGGGGTCCTGGGGCCTGCGGGCGGTGAGCACGCCAGGTGGACGCCCCCGCGCCGGCCACAGCTCCCTCGGGGGGCTCTGGCGGAACTTTTGCGAGCAAAAGTGACTTGCGCCTGGCTTGGGATTCCGAGTTGAGCCTCGCGTGCCAGGCTGCCCTCTGCCCTCTCGACTCGCTCGCTAGCTGCCCCCAGAGCGGGGGTGGGTGGAGTGGGGGGGCAGGTCTTTTCACACGGTGCCATATGGGGTTTATGATGTCCCTGACGGTCGCCCTCTGCCAGGCCTGGCCCCGGCCACTGCGCGCTCCGCAGCGGGCTCTCACCTGGATGGCGGGGCTTTGGGCTCTCCCCCTGCGCATGCTGTTTGGAGTTTCTGCCCCTGGCCTTCTCCCTCCGCAGCTGGACTTGGAGCTGCGCTTGGGAGCGGTGCGGGGAGAGTGGCGTGGGAGCACTGAACCTGCCTTGTGGAGTGGGGCACCTGTGGGTTAGTCCTGCTCACCACGGCCAAGAAAAGGGGACTTGGATGCTACTTGGGTTACAGGTTCTGGTGTCTGCGATGCTGTTCATGTGCAGTACTTTTTTTTTTTTTGGCGTTTTGGGTCACACCCGGCGATGCACAGGGGTTACTCCTCGCTTTGCACTCAGGAATCACTCCTCGCGGTGCTCAGGGGACCATATGGGGTGGTGGGAATCGAACCCGGGTCGGCCGCGTGCAAGGCAAACACCCTACCCGCTGTCCTATCACTCCAGCCCCAACAGTAAATGTTTTAAAAGATTTTTTAAATTGAGGAACCAAGTAGTACGATAGTACAGTGGATAGAACATTTACCTTGCACGTGGCCAACCTGGGTTCCATCCCTATCACCCCATATGTTCCCCTGAGCACTGTGAGGTGTGATCCCTGAGTGCAGAGCCAGGAGTAAGCCCTGAGCACTGCTGGGTGTGGCTCAGATCCCCACCCCAACCAGTTTTTAAGAAATAGAGTTTGTGGTTATATATGGTATTAACGGTGGTTTCTCATGCACATACTAATTCCAGCACCACCCCCATCACCAGTGTGCCCCCTTCCTCCCCAAGTCCCCCACACCAATTCAGCTGTGCGAATCTGTTTGCCCATTATGTTGCCTTTGGCCCTTTGCTGCTCCCTTGCTGTGTATCTTGGTCCCCCAAATGAGAGATCACTCTTGTCTCTCTTCCTTTCCTTCTGACAGTTGTCTCTCAACATGACACTCACTGGTTCCTCTACGTTGCTGGAAATCTCGTAGTATTTTGTTCTTTCTTAGAGCTGCATAGTATCCCTTTGTGTGTCATGCAGTTATTCCCCCCCCCCCCTTTGGTTTTTGGGCCACACCCAGAGATGCTCAGGGGTTACTCCTGGCTTTGCGCTCAGAAATTACTCCTGGTGGTGCTCAGGGGATCATATGGGATACCAGGGATCAAACCTGGATTATCCGCATCCAAGGCAAATGCCCTCCCTGCTGTACTGTCACTCCAGACCCATTCTTTGTGAAGTTTTAAAGCTAAGACACAATGGGGGCTGGAGTAATAGCACAGTGGGTAGGGTGTTTGCTGTGCATGCAGCCAACCCGGGTTCGATTCCCAGCATCCCATATGGTTTCCTAAGCACCGCCAAGGGTAACCCCTGAGCATCGCCGGGTGTGATCCAAAAAGAAAAAAAAATAAAGCTAAGACACAAGAGACGAGACTGGAGAGATAGTGCAGTGGATAATTTAGGCCTTTACTTCACATCACGCATGGCCAATGTGGGTCAGATCCCTGCACACTGCCAGTGTGGCCCCAAATAAGAAGAACCACCGGAAAATCAAGCTCAGGATCTCCTTAGACTGAAGTCAGCCTAGACCTAGTCTAAGATTCAGAGGTAGACTGAGGTCAGCCGCAAGACAGTTGATTGAGTCCTGCTCGGGCTGTGACAGTCGATCGTTTTCAACCATGGCCTGCGTAGGAAGTGACCAGTAGAACCTAGTAACAAGTATAAGGTGACCGCACTTGGCAGGAACTGCAGGTCACGTCAACCCCATGGGTGGGTGCCCACAGTGGACGGCCGAGCTGTGCGTGGGCTTACACAGACAGTGGAGGTTTGAGTTTCTTCTGGAAAAGAGTCCCCTCATCTAAATCATCTGGGTTCTTGGATTTGACTTTGAGACAGTTTGATTCTAGCCTTGTTTTTAGAGAAGCAGGTGTGGTGATGTGTTCTTGTGTGTCCCAAATTGCGGATTTGTACAGCGAATTATTTGCCTTAACGACCAGTGGTGGTGTTGAAGTTGGTGCAGACTTCTGGGCCAGACATCAGAATGTTAAGTGTGCGTCTCAGGGACTGAGTCTGCTCGCCACTAGGGCGCTGGCCCAGTTTAGAAGAGTCCCCTGGCTGTCGAGGTGCCCCTGCAGCGGGTGAGAGCTCAGGCTTCAGTCGCTCTGTGAGTGGTAGGCAATACCACTCTTTTCTTCTCTCAAACCACAGAAGTCATGCAGTTCTTTCGCGTGGCTGAAGGCTGTGGCCCCTGACTCTGGCAGCCAGAACATAGTTTCACTTAGGAATGTTCTGGGTGGGACTGGAGCGATAGAGCAGTGGGGAGGGCACTTGCCCTGTATGTGGCCTACCACCTGGGTTTGATCCCCAGCACTCCATATAGTTTCCTGAGCACAGAGTCAGGAGTAAGCCCTGAGCACTGTTGGGAGTGGGCCAAAAAACCAAATGAAAAATAGTAAATTTTAAAAATGTCCTTGGTGGAGCACCGAAACTACTGATTTTATTAACTCCCTTTTTTTTTTGGCCCACTCCCAGTGGTGCTCAGGGATCACACCTGGAGATCAAACCCGGGTCATCTACCTGTCAGGCAAGTGCCCTCCCTGCTGTCCTATAGCTCTGGCCGATGATTTTATTAACTCTTGCCCCTTGGGGGTGTGTGTTTTTGTGTGCTGGGATGAGTGGCAAACTCTCATTTCTTTCATTTTGTGGGGGCAGAGTTTGGGCCACACCCGGTGATGTGCAGGAATCACTTCCTGCGGTTCTCAGGGGACCTTGCGGTGCTCTTCCAACCCAGCACTCCGCCCTCTGAGCTCACTCTCTTTTTTGGAGGGGTGGTGGGTGCCCATCTAGGGGCTGCCTGGCACAGTTGTCAGGGGCTACTATCACGGACTGAGCATACGTTTTGCTTGCAGGTGGCCTGGGTTCGATCCCTGCCACTGCATAGTCCCTGAGCGTTTCCAGGAGTGATCCCTGAGCACCAAGCTGGGAATAGCCCCAGAGCACTCCTGGGTATACGCCCAAACCCACCCCTCTCCATCAAAGGAGGGAAAATATCTCTTTTAGGAGAGATGGTAAAACAAGATTAGAAGTATTCACTAGTAAACACTTTCCTCCTTTTTCATTGACTCACCATGAGCCACTAGTAAACTTCATTAGCTTTCTTTCCTTTAGTATTTCCTTCTTTTCTTGAGCAAACGTGTCTGGCGCACTCACTGTACCAGGTAGTGTTTCTTCCTGTCTGATGATAGCGCTGGTGACCGGAAGCCTATCCCTGCCCTCTGAATGTCCGTGCCAGTGTCAGGAGGCGGACCGGACCAGGTATGTTCAGCAAGTGAGAGGGGGAGTGAAATCGATGCTGGGAAGGGCACAGGGACTGCAGGGGTCGTGATTTCAACCAGGGTGGCTAGAGACCCTCCCTCTCCCCCCAAGCTTAAGTGGCATTTGAATGAAGACCGGAAGGAGGGAGCGAGTTCTAGAAGGGAGGTTGGTAGAGGCTGTACTGAGCTCAGCGGCACTGGAGCCGGAGCGAGCCGACTGGGCGGAACCCTGGGCAGGCACTGGGCCTTGCTGCCTGGGCCCGGGGTTAGTCTCGGGCTTGTTGGGTGTGGAGTTGCTGTGCTCTGTGGAGAGCAGCTCGGCAGTAGCATTATCCCTGTGCTTGGTGACCGAGAGGTGGCGGGGCTGTGAGGCGCCCCCATGCCACCCCTGGAGGGCTCTCGGGTTCCATGAGACACAGAGGCAAGGGAGGACAAGGGTGTACTGAGGTTGAAGATGGGTCAGTGGGAGAATGTGGTTGCCTTCTGCGGAAAGGGAGACCAGAGGAGCAGCAGTGTTGGGGGGTAGGAGCCTGCTGGGTGGGGCGGTTGAGTCCGAGAGCTGGAATTCAGGAAAGCCATTCAGGTGGAGGTGGCCAGGGGGCATCGTGGGGAGCTGTGGGATGACTGATGTCCCCAGGCGAGAGGGCTCGCTCCTCTGGGCCCATCTCCTAGATGTACCAGCGCATTCCTCTGGTTTGTGAAATGAGGATGTGTGTGTGTACTTGTGTACTGGGGATCACACCCAGGGCCCACATCAGCGAGTGTTTTCCTGCTGAACTCCGTCCCTAGCCCAGGACTTTACATTTTGATACAGGCTTGGTTTGAATTTTTTTGAGGGGGTAAAAGTTTAGATTTCGTGTGGGAATGACTAGTTCATCTGTCATAGGTTTTTTTTTTTTTTTTTTTTTTTGGTTTTTGCTTTTTATTTTTCGGGCTACACCCAGCTGTGTCAGGGATAATTCCTGGCTGTGTGGTCATTCCTGGAAAGCCTCAGGGAATTGTACATAGTACTGAGAATCGAACCTAGGTTGTTTATCTTTGTACTGTACTGTCTTTTTGGACTTCATCTTTGAGTTTTAAGTCCACTTTCTCTGTTTTTACTCTAAATTGAAAAATTGCAGATTTGATGGGCCAGAACAATCATACGGTGTGTTGGGCACTTGCTGTTCATGTGGTCAACCCAGGTTTGATCCCTGACACCCCTTGTGGTCCCCTACGCTCCACTAGGAGTAGAATATAGAGCTAGAGGTAAGTTAGTCCTGGGCACTGCTAGATGTGGTCAAAATCAAAAAGTAAATTGCAGAGGTTTTTTATTTTCATATTTTTTTGTGGTAGTGACTGTTAAGTATAAAGTAGTTTCAATTTAAAAGATTTGTAATTGG